TTGTGTCGACTCGACTTAGATCGAGTCGAATCGGGTCCAATCGGTTTTAATTAAACCCAATCAATTTATTTGAGCCTTGTTGAACCCAATTCAACTCAAATCGGTGTCAATTCGAGTCTACTTTCCTCAAATTAGCTCGACCAAACCAAATCAAACTCAAATCGATTCAATTCAAGTTTGATTCAAGCTCAATTTCAAACCTAATCAGCATAATTTGACTTTCCAAATCAAATTCTGCTTCCAACAACTCTTATTTGCCTTGGAAATTCGCTCGTTTGCACCACTACATTCATGTCAAATCCTGTAGCGGGTACTCGAGAGTGGGAGATCGAGTATCTATGCTTTCCTGTACACGAAATGTAGCAGGGCCTCTTCGATTTTCATTTTTTCCCTGTTTCGTGAGTATCATAGGAGATGAGAGGGAGAGCGGAGGAGGGAGGTGGAATTGAGCGCTTGGGAGCTTTGTGTCTTCTACGTGTGTATATTTGGAGGAGATGTGAGGCCCTTTCATGCGTGCGTGCCCGAGAAAGAATCAGGGAGGGTCGAGCGGCTTTTCAAGTGCGAGCATAGGCCAGACCGAGTGCAGGGACAATTGGAGGAGCTTTTGTGCATGTGACCTGGGTCGATTGAGTGGCTCGACTACTCTTTGTGTATGATCTTGAGAGGAAATCGGGACCGACTGGCCAATTACTCATACTTCCGATGTTTGCGTGCCTCTAGCTGAACCGTGCAACCCTCCTAAGAGGTCCTACCATTTGGAGTTTTCCAAAATCAGAGAAAAGAAGCGCCAAAGTTGTTGATGGTTGAATTGTTCTTCATACATTTCTCTCTGGTGCGCTCACGACACAAAGTCAACATCCAAGAGGTCCAAATATCGGGTTTTTACCATGATTGCTCCGGTGAGGTTAAATCTCTTAAACTTAGGAAATCCTCTAGGCCTTCAAGCCAATGGGTGTGTTTGACATTTCCCATGCCCTTAGGCCCATAGAAACCTCACATTTAAAATTTTAAACCTAAGAAAAAATCCTATGTTTGCTGTTCTCTCCACAAAACAGTGGAAATATGGCTATTTTCACTTGTTTGCTCTCACGTGAGATCCTGAGAAGGATGACGATACGCATAGGGTCGTTGGATTGGTGTCCAATATGTTCTAAATGCATGCATTAGCATTCATATTAGATCCTAAACCTTTGCATATGGAAAAGCCTAGGCTTTGTAGGTCATTGTTCGAGCTTCACGACGTTACATTTAAACAAATTAAATGCATGTTGTAGGTTGTTCTTCAAGTTTCACGTAATGAGCTTTAAAATTTGCAAAATGTGTAAATATGCCCGTTTAATTTCAAGCTTTGATGAAACTAATTTGGAGTATAATATGGGCCTTCAAAGGTCCGTAGATGTACTCTATTTTACTTTGGAGATTACTCGGGTTTATTTATGTCATTTTCAAATCAAATGGTTAAATGAACTCTTAAATAACCTTAACATGTATGAATGTTCATGAACTTGAATACATCTACAAAGCTAATTTGAGGAGACCTCTTGATTTTTAGCCATAAAGCTACAAGTCTTCCTTCACTTCTCTAGGCTCTAAAAGCTTTAGAAGATCTCCAATCTTAACCGAACAATTATAGGCCTCATCTCATTTTTTCCAACCTCAAAGCTATAGAAGATTTTCCTCTCTTTAGTTTTAAAGCTAAAGAGAATTTCCCTTCCCTTCAACCTTAAAGTTGTAGGAAATTTCTCCCCTACCTTTAGCTTCAGAGCTTTAGGTACTTCATCACCTTCATCCATTTGATCCATAGTTAAGTGGATGCCCCCTCTACCTAGACTCAAAATCTAAGTAACATTTCATTTAACAAAATAAGTGATTTCTTTTATGATATTTAAAATATAATATTTAGATATCCTTTAGGAGCCTCTATCTGTTGAAGTTCACCTTATCCTTTTAGGTGAATTTCTCAAAGTCCTAAGTCAAACCCGTAGGCATGTTTACCTTATGCTATTAGGTAAATATTTCCCTTTTATCCAAACACTAAGAGAAACTCAAAATCCTAAAAAAATACTGAGTTTTTTTGATACAACGATCAATCATTCCACCCTAAAAGGTTAAATGCCTATATTATTGGATCTTAAGATTTCATAAGTAGCAGGTTTGCTTCAAAGCAAGCAGTGGTTATTTTATGAGTTTTTCATAACTCTTCTAAATATGAAACAAATAAAAATCAAATAAAAGTTTTACGTCTCACACAATTAAAAGTGAAATCTCATTTGGATTAAAATTAAACATTTATGTCTCTCAACAAAATAAAACACCACTTGTTGTGCAATATATAACATAGCCGACACAGTTAGGTGCGTAGCCCCTAGGCATGCTAATATTATAATTTTCTTTTTCTGTGCATGTGGTTGATGATGTGGTGTGATGTCTATTGGATTGTCTACGTTGTAGGCACTTGCCCTTAAGTAGATAGGATATAAATATATCTATCCTTTTCTGCAGGTGGCTTTGTCCAAGAGGGGATAAAAATAAATCATGATTATTTAACACTGTTTACTTGTAGGTGTTGCTTAAAACCCCACTAGAAGGTATGATCAATAGGATAGAAACAGGGCTTGACAATTTAAGTGCTAGGCAATTCTGAGATGCCTTTTTTGTTATATAAAATGATTCCTAGTCCATTTTTATTTTGTCTGTTTTGTTTTTAAAATATATTTGATAGACTTAGGAAGTATGTTTAAGCCTATGAGATATAGTTACAGAAGAGATGAACCAGAAGAATGAATTCTCTTGGGTGATGCCTTAGATACATCTAAAAGCTAAAGCTTAAAGACCCCATTGGCTGAGTCTATAAAAATTTGACTGGGTTGTATAATGACAGACAACTCAGCTGTTAACTATTATTGTAATAATTGGACTCTACATTTTATTTTCTTGTTGGTTGATTTTTATAAATCTATACATGTTTTGATGGTTTATTGAGTACGCATTAGAAATACATGCTTTTTCCTAAGTTTATTCACTTGCTTTTGCTTGAGAGTTTTGAACTTTGTTATACAACATACTTTCAGGATAAAACTAATTTTTCTACCAATTTACATGTAAATAATTTAAAATCAATCATAACTAATTTCTAAATAAAAGCAAATTGCATGGCTTACTCTAATGAGCCAAATTTTAAAAAATAAAATGATTATGCATGGCTAGTGTGTCACATGTAGAAAACCCACTTAAGGATCAGCTAAAAAATTATTTAACTGCACTTTATGGTTTTAAAAGCGATTAGGTGGGTTTATCTTATTGCCTTTTCCTGCCAGGATTGTAAATTCTGAGGTCAGTATAACTTATGCTTATTGTGAGGTGTAAGTTGTAAGTTCCTTACACTCCATTAGACTTAGGTTCGAGGTACTATCCCTCAATAGTCTTCACCTTAGTTCTAGGATACAAGGTTGTTGTTTACTCCAGTCACTTCATAGGACCTTACATTTCAGGCATTTCCTTCAACATATGTTGTTGGATTATAAACTCAAACATTCTAAATCAAATTGGTCAACTTGAACAAAAATTCTAATTTTAAAATATAAAGCCCAACATAGAATAGTTTGAGTACCTTTGAGTTTTCTCAGAATCAAGTACTCATATATTCTCATTCATTTGGTTTCCATGCTTAAAATATGATTTAAAGTTGATCATACCTTCCTTGAAATTCCCAAAACCAAATCTTTGAAAGAGAATTTCTCAAATTAAAAAAAAAAGCCAATGCTTTAAAGATTATTAAGAAACCACTAGTTTAATCCAAAGTGTTCTCAAGTAACAAATGCTTGAGATATAATTAACCATAGGGGTTTGCCTCTATGGGGCATCCGTACCCCAAAATACAATAAATCATATTCAACAAAATATTGAATAAGAGAAAATTCCTGTGAAAATTAAAACTGTGAGTTTTGTTATTGAGTCCACAGCGAAATAATATTTTTATCTTTCTGAATATTATATTATTTTTTATGTCGTGCTCAATTATAAAATATTCAATCCATTGAGGATGACAAAATTTCTCCAACAAGAAGTAGACCTTTAAAGACTCAGTTAGAAAGTGTTAGAAATGATCTTTTTTGTTAGATTTAAATGAGAATTTGATTTTTCATATGATGTTGTTTTTGTTGCTGATCCAATTTCCTGTTTTGTCACGTAGCTGATTTGGATGATTTTGCTTTATTTCATTATTCCTGTAGCTTAATGCAGCTGTTCCACGTATTTTGTTCGCAATGCAAGGGGCTGCTTTCAATCTTCCTTTTTAGGGATTGGATTCTTTTTTTCCCTTTCATATGCGATCTATTTACTGTATATAAAAGTTGATTACCTATTTGGTGTGCGTCAGCTTCCCTTCTTCCTTATAATTCCTGAATCTCATGCTATTGTAGGCTTCAACTTCGCTATTGTGGCATGTTAGACATCAACACATTTTATTGGATTATAAAATTGTACAATCAAATTGTGAAGCATAGACTACAAACATGATAGACCAACCTACGAGCATAAAAGTCTAGCAAATAAGAATGAATGAAAAATATTCCATATTGACACTACAACACGCAAAGGACTACAATATATATTTGCTCAACAATATATCAACAATATTCCATATTGACATTAGTAAACCCTAAATATCTTTCATTAACGGGCCTGAGATTTAATACCTTTTAAAAAGCCTTTTATGATACCTCATCATCCTCTTGATTTTTTATTTACTCTATTAGAGCGTCTTCTTGAAGCATACTATGTCACTTATCAATTATGTTAATTCCACTATTAATTAGTGTGTAATAGGAATCAGCTTTCTGTATGAGTACATGCTATTCTTCTTTCCAACGTGTATATAATTCTACATTTGGTTTTCTTTACTCTTATATCCGTTTCATGTTTTTGAATTATTTCCTTTTAGCTCATTTGTGGTCTGCTGTTGATTATGCTATCACATTTATTTTATTGTTTATAGGCAATTCCAGCAGCAGCTGGAGCTGTTGCTGCAGCAGCTGTGGCTGATCAGATGCATGAACCAAAAGAAGATCGACGCCTGGCAATAGTTTTGGTAGTATGAGGCAAACAATCGTTGCATCTTCTCTTACTTGTGATGGCTGTTTTTCCTGCTACAAGAGCTAGCATTCCACACCACAATTACTACGATACTTTATTTTCTTTAATTAACACAAAACAATTTACGTAAAATATTATCTTGTGTATAATACACATCATCATCATCACCACCTTCTCTCATTAATTTTTTTTTGTTGAATGGATAGTAGGCTACTCATTTAATGCATCCATGATTAGTAATAACTTACCCTCTAGTTCTCAATGCCAGACATTTTTTTTCCTTGCATATTCTTATAAGAAAAATTGATTATTTAAATTGCAAAAATTATGAAGTTATTGAGAGTGAAAGTTTATGTATCAAACATTTCTTATTATTTTTGGATTTTAAGATGAAGGGGTGAGAAACGAAAAATAAAATAAAATATTATCATAGCATTAGATGGGGGTATTTAAAGAATGCTTATAAAAATATTTTGAAGCAAGATTCAAAATCTTAAGATTTGGGTTGTTCATATGAAAATTAATGTTATGTAAGAAAAAATAGATAGCGATATAACATATAAGGAATATTGTAAAGTATGTGTTTGGAGAATTAAAAGAAAAAAACTCATAATAGTAAAAAATAGTTGATGTTGGAATCAAAATGTATAAGAAAAAGATAAAATAGAAACTCGAAAAATTAGAAAAGATATAGAGGAGCCTGTAGGGATTCTAAGAAAGTTATTTGTGATCTAGAGAATTTAATCTTTAGTAATTTATATAATAAATTAAATACTAAGGATGGTGAAATATGTATATATAAGTTAGCCTAGTAAAGAGATTGGAAAATTAAGATTTAGTCATGTAAAGTGCATTAAGGATGAAAATAAAAAGTGCTTTATTTAGAAGAGGATATTCAACATATATTGATGAGATATTTCAATAAACTTTTTATGAAGTGTGAGAATATGATTGACTTTAGTGACCTTAGCACCCTAAATCAAATATAAAGATTTTTGTTGTTATCTTCGTATTAGTAAAATCAAAGTTGGAGATACTTTAAAAAAATTAAGTGTGAAAAATAGTAGGACCTGATGACATTCCAATAGAATTATAGAAATGCTTAGGAGATCAATGAATTTCTTGGTTACTAAACTTTTGATATTATTTTGAAGTAAAAAAAATGCTTGATGAGCGGAGAAGTGTGCTGATTCCTATTTTTAAGAAGAAATATGATGCACAATAATATGCGAATTATAGAGGAATTAAATTAATGTGTTATACATTAAAATTATGGGAGAGAGTAATTAAGCATAGGTAATGACGTGATACTAATATTTCTAAAAATCAGCTAGATGCCATATAGGCCTATTATGAAAGTTGTACATTTGTTGAGAGGTTTGTTGGAGAAGTATAGACAGAGTAAGGAGGATCTTTGTGTTAATGAATCGATAGATTGCCAATTTTTTTACTTCAACTTTAATCCTAAATTGAGTTATCAATATTGTAGTATATATATTCACATAAACTAAATCTTTTGAACTGAACAAATATGCTAGATATTTATATATTGATTTCAGTGTATTAAAAGTGCATATTAAAGCATGTTTAGGAGTGAAGCAAAGAGATGCATTGCCATGTGCATTGCTTGACTATGAAGCTCACATGCCATGTTTTACCATGACCCATCATAGCACTGTGTAATTGGTTCTAGCATAAAATGAAATTTTCGTTCACATTTCATGATTGAATTTAACATATGTTGCAATAACTAGGTGAAAAAATTCGCTTATCCTCACCATTACTTGATGCCATTGAGTGTTGCTCATTGGTTATATGTTTTATCCTATTGGAGCTATTCTTGATGGTCTTTTTTTTAAAAGTAGTCTTGTCCACTAGTGTTCTTATGCGGTGTATTGGTTCTTGTTGTTGTTACTAGTAGCTTCTCGTTCACAAGCTTCTTCCCAAGAATACATCTCAATGCCTCATCTTCGCACTCTCTCACTTTATTTGGTTGGCATGCAAAAAGTTTTCCTTTTTATATTTATTCTTGTTTTAATTCCAAAGCTCTTATTAATGTCTGGTTAATAGTTCTTCATCTTCGGGGTAGTGATTACAAGAAACTGCACTTCTACTTACCATAATTTTCCTGTATATTTAGTTCTATAAAGTAGACATAAAGACATGCATGCCTGCAACTATTTTGTGGATCTATTTGAGTCAGCTGTAGCAATTAGGGCTAGGATATCCTTTGCTCTTCCTAACTTCTTCATTATATTTCTTCTCTTTCATTCTTTTAAAAGAAGGGGACTTCTGCTAAGCTGTTTTTGAAATACAATTTGTGATGTCTGTTTTATTTTGAGGTTTTTGTTTAATCATGCAATTCATCTATAGGGTTTCACTTTTTCAAGTAAACTATTTACCTGTCTTTTATTGAAGGTGGGTTTACCAGCTCGAGGCAAGACTTTTACAGCGGCCAAACTTACAAGATACTTGCGGTGGCTCGGCAATGAAACAAAAATTTTTAATGTTGGCAAGGTGAAAATTATGTCTCTATACAAGTTCCTATATTTTACAGCTGGTAATTGGTCCATTTCTTTGTTCTTTCTGATACTCTGATAAATTTTTTGCTGGACAGTATCGCCGTCTTAGGCATGGATCAAATCAGGTATGATAAAGAACATTTTATTTATAAATTCTGCTTTCTCAATCATTTCTAATTCGTCTAAAGGCAGACTAATATAAAACCATTTTCAGCTATGTTCTCTTTGATTTTCTATAAATCCCCTCTTTGCTTATTTCCTTCTGGAAGTTTGCCTTATTTGGTTTCTTTTTGTAGTGTAGTTTGAGTAAATAGATGAAGATGTTACTTGATGTTTACAATTGTTATTCTGGACGCCTCTCTTACGCTCTCTCCACTACCCCTGCTCCCCCCCATCTATTAAGCATGATGCTAGAAAATGAGAGCGTAGAAAATATTGTTGTAATCGCATGGCTATCTTTTATTTTATTTCTGGTAGATTATGATTGAGAAATCATCAGGTTTAGGTTACTACGACTCTTTTTGTCGCATTTTGAATATCCTAAATTTGTACCTATTCAAGTTTTTAATTAAGAGCAAATCATCCCAAGGGAAGAGGGCATTGGCCCCCTTAATGTTTTCTAAGTAGTTTTGTCCTTTGAGCATGATTAGATGTAACATCTATTGCCTGTTTTTTACTTGAACTTGTTCTTTCGGAGATGGATTTAGAGATTAATTAGTTTCGTCTGCTGTGTACTGCCTGCCATCCAATTTATGCTCATCAAGATTGATATGATCATCTTTATATATTTGGATTTACTAGATATTATCTATTTTTATTAAAATAGTTTATTCTTTTCAACACGTTATTATATTATTTGTTCGTAGGTGTTGTTTAGATTTTTAGTTAGCCGGCTATTTCTATAAATAATCTTTTTGCTTTGTAAAACTTGGTTATGATGGCCGGATGAAACTTTCCTTCACAATACATTTGGCTTCATATTTTTCTTCTGTGCTTTGAGGAATCAGTACAGATTGCTATGAGTTTAGAGGCTTTAAGAATTCAACATCAATTACTTGATGATTCATGATATCGGTATTTCTTTTTTTTTCTTTCCTTCCTTTCAATTTCCTATTGAAACAATTATGTGGCAGCCTACTCTGTTCCAAGGGTAAATCAAGATAATCTTTGGATTGTAGATGAAAAGTTCATGATGATGTAGAGGTTTTTTTTCCCCATACATACCGTCTTTTGTGCCCTAAAATGTAGTGTCAAGTGTAATATGTCCAAACTTGCTTTCTATAGAATTAAATCTTCAACAAGTGCAGATAACTTTTTTTCTATTAATTGAGCCACCCTAACCTAATTGTCTAAACTCTCGTTTTAGTATTCATATTCCCCATGCATTCCATCGATGGTGCGGCCCGTAGCCGTAGCTTTTGATGTGCTTGGAGCTTATGTGCCAAGGGTAATTTCTTCCAAATAGATGAGTTTGGTTGGATCCTATGTGAATCATCCCACTGTTGCAATCCGAAAGCTCGAGTTTGTGTTTTGAAATTGAACTTTCAATTGATATCAAAGCAGATTTTCTATATTTATGGTTTAAAACCCTAGAGAAAAGATCTAATGGCATATTTTGGAAATATGAATGCTATTGAGGGTTATTCAATTACCCATCCACCGCTGTTTGATAATATATCCCATTTGATTTTTGAAAAATTCGTATGTTTATATTTTTTGCAATCGATTGATTTTAGAATGTGGCATGTAATTCAAGTTGATTATTCTATTCCTTTTCACATTGTGAATGTTATCAAAGTAGAAATCCTAGTTATTGAAATGAGTATAAAAGATAAGAATTTGGTTTAACTCAATGCAAAATATTTGAATTATTTTTTTTTTGCCTTGAAATCTGATGACTATATGCATGTATCAACATGTTCTCCCTCCTTTTTTCATTTTCTCAATCGCATACAAGAACCAAGGCCTGTACCCGTTTTCCTTGGCATCACGAGCCGAACTCGCCAACCATGTGACGTCGTTCCATCTCCCGCCTGCACGCGCGATTTTCTCCCAAGCCACCCGCATCCGATCCTTGTCAATCCCAAGCAGGTAGCACCCGACTAAGCTGATCCCAAACATCTCGCTTGATCTTCAGTCGGGAATCCGTGGACCAATCCAATCGCCTGACTTGATTCCGCTCCTTTCTCCCTCTCACGCCCGACCCCTCTTATTTCACGCGATAACAAGGGCCGAGCCCCTCCACTTGATTTCTACTCTGTTGGACTCGACCCAATCTCCCAACTCGCCATCTTTGTTTAAGTTATTAAATAAAATTTATGTATATTGAAATAAAATGTATGATAAACAGGTATCGCCAATTTGAAGACCTGCATTATTGTATGTTTGATCTGGGCAGAAATGTTTGATTTGGCTTATGTTAAGAAGGATAGAGGTAGACCTGGGTATAAAATATTAGAAATGACATTTATTTATTAGATTTAAATGAGAATTTGACTCTTAACAAGACAATGGAGAAAAAAGGATTTATGTAGCTAACCCCACGTAGTGGGATAAAGGCTTGATGTTGTTGTTGTTGTTGGACAATCACACATTTTTGCTTTAGTCAGAGGAATCACATTTTATAAATTTCCTTCTCTAAACTTGAATCACTTACACTTCATTTGTCATTAGAAAAAGAAACTTCTAAAACAAAATTTATTCTCTTTCTATCCCAATTTCCTTCCTTTGCCTTCAATTAAAATATCGGTCTCTGCTTAAACTAAAATCACATAAAAATTTGCACAAAAATGAAATTTTGACGAACTTGCTTCCCTTCTCCTCCTTCCTTTCGGTCACGACTTTCTCTTGGTTGTCACATTCATTTGCTTGTTTAATTCCACTGGAGTGAGCAAATCAGAGTTATTTCCCATAAGGAGTCGCTGCTTTTCACTCCCACATGCATTTCCTAACTTATCTACATAATCTGATCCCGCCAGCCACACCCGCGCTTGTGTTCAGCCCCCTGGTGCTCGCCCTCTCGATTCTGCCTTGCCTACATTAATTAGTGGTCGGTTCAATTGAATCATCCATGCTCGATTCTTACATAAAGTAACCGACATGATTGGTGATGTAGAATCCATGAGCATATGGATGGATGAGGTGGCATGCAAGGAGTTGATCACGCCATAATTCACATAGGGTAATTGCTATGAGTGTTGATAATATATTTTGATAACGTGCACAATTTGAAAATTTTATGATTAATTGTTAATCCATTAGATGCATAAAAAGTTTCATAATGGATGTATCCGAATACATGAAAAAAATAATTGCCATGTCAAAATATATGGTTTCAAATGACTTGGAATTAAATACATTAGTTGATGATATCACATGTAGCTGACAATTTTAGTTGGTGAAATACTTGAGTATAACTATATTTTTAATATATAGCTTATGCATGCGGTATATTTATCATTGCATTTTTCATATGCTTGATAAATGATTAAAACATCTTGAAATTAATGAAACTAGACACCTATAAAATTCTTCTGTTATAGATCACAATTACCCTTATGATCATTAGTTTGAAGATTGTATAAAGTAGTGGGTGCCAAAAAAAAAAAAAAATCGAGGAGAAAATTCCAACATATATATACGGACACATTGATATATATTTTGTTACAGATTAAAGGATTGTTAACCTGACATTTAAATAGGCACCTAACGGTATATGCACCTGATGTAATAAAAAAAAAAGCTTAGTATCTTGTCTTGAACTACAAACAAATTCAAGCTTTTATCAACAATGGACCTTCGACTTTCTTTGTTCATTTTGTTGGATCTTTATATCCATAAATAATAGCGAAAATGAAAAACAGGATATTTAAAAAATTAAATTGAGACATTCTCCATATTAATTTTCTTAATAAATAATAATTTTAAAATATGAAATGAAGAAAACTTACCGAAATGTTGATTGAGATTGTAGATCTTTGTCAAAATGTTGATTGAGACTGTAAGTCTTCTTCTTTTAATAACCCCACCAAATATATTTTAGTGAGTAGGCACAATAAATCAATTATTGATGAACACTTTTTCTTTTGAATCTAATTTATGTTCTAAATACAATTTAATCCTTCAAAATAAAAAGACTATGAGATTAACAATTTTCTCATATATATTCTTCCATCTCTCATGAAAGAATCATGTATCATCTCTTATTTCATATAAACTTAATTCTTATTTATAAAAAAAAGCTCACATCTTTTCGATTTTGAATACATCTTTTCATAACCACCTCTTTGTAATTCATTAAGTTTTTTTAATCAATATTAAAATGATACTTATCATGACACATCATGATATATCATCAACCTTATATTTAATGACACATCATCATCTTTATCTTTTAATATTACAAGATATTTATGATGAGTCATTATCATCTCCATAAAATTTGATAAATTAAAAAGGTGATCAGAAAACATAAAGACGTTATTAATGTAATCATAATTTAATATTTATATTATGTTACATCCTTAACGATAGTGTTCAATATATAATATAGCTTAGGTGATGAAGAAGGAATCTATGAACTTATAATTCAAGCTCTAATAAATTTGACTATTAATTTAACTCTTAAATTAATAAATCAAAATTATTAATTTTAATATTATTCTACTATAAATATAAAATTGCACTCTTGAATTTATATTATAATTTACTCAATATAAAAATTGAATTGTCCATTGATTTAATCATTACATATAAAATAATCCTCTATAAAAAATTAATAATTACAGCTAGGTATTTATGTCACCTCACTAATTATATCTTGATCCTTAAATTCTAATTAATTCTCTAATAAACAATAAACTTTGTGACCTTGTCACAAAATTTGAGCGCTCAATTGTTCAGGTTATTAATTAATTATTCAAGAGAACTATTTTTCTAACTTTTAAAATTGAAAGGAATGTATGTCATATCTGTATATTAACATTCTCAGCTATTTGTTTCATTATGTTTATGAAATACAAGGATTGAGTTTATTTTTTCCAAATTATTTCCGAGTAAATAAAAATAAAAAATAAATATCACAAATAGGAGTTTATTAATAACTCAGGATTAAGATTGTTTTATA